TTAAAGTGAAAAGAAGCTATACTTACCTCTTGGACACTGCATATACCTACGAAAGGATTCTCTGTGCCGTGTCGTCGTTATAGAGTAAATTAAGAAGGCTACTACTCTGTAACAATACCATGTGATAGTTTTTCTTGGCATGAGAAAATTTAACCATTGTTGTAATTCTCATTTATATTTTTGTTCTTCGGTGTGTTTTGTTTTTCAAAAATTTTATACGCAAACCTTTTTCATAGTACTTTTCCTTTCTATAATTTCTTTACGTCAGAAACTTTTTTGTTTAATACTCTTTTCTTTTCTTCTTTAGTTTCTCGATAACTTCTCTTGCCTTGTTTGTTTTGTCTCTTGTTTTCTTTGTCGAAGGTGGGTATACTTTTCAGACCATGTGCTAAACCTCGTTAGCTTTATACTTTCAGGGCAACCGCCGGTCATCCATGTCTGGGTGAGCTGATAGTCCTTTATACTTGGACGATTGATTTTTCTTCATGACTTGTATTATTAACTGCATGGCCCCGGTAGATACTTTTCCCTTTATTGTTTCCTCTTTTTCTTTCTTTTTATACACTCGTTTTTAAGTATATTCATTTTGGAAAAAGCATTCTTTTTCTAACAACACTTTTGTCAAAACTTAGATACTATGAACAACTAGAAGTCAGTCCATTCCGGCTATTATCCAGGGGTTGCAGAATCAAGTGGTGAACCTCCAGGCATAGCTACAAGAGCGTGATCCGGTTGAACTAGTTCGGCAGAATTATAAAAATAATATTCGGTTGGAGAGGTTGCGGTTAGAAAGAAATAGATTAAGGGTTCGGGTTACAGACTTGGAAACAATAAATAATGATTTGGAGATGGAGATTTTGGCGTTGCGGAGTATTTTGGAGAATAGTTATGGTTTTTCTTGGGTGAAATTTGTAGTTATTCTAGTTATCATTTTCTTTTTGTACTATATTTTGTTTTATTTTTCCAATAAATATTTTTAAAACTTTAAATAAAACTATTGAATAAAATATTTTAATTGCTCTAAGTTTAATAAAATTATTAACTAAAATTGTCTAAGTGTAGAAAAAAATAAATTTATATTCTCTATTATTTCTTATTTTAATAAACTTTCAAATTTTTCTGAGAATAGCTTATTCAAGCTACTAAAAGTAATATATTTGCTGGAGTAAAGTTGTGAAAGATTCTAGCGTTGGAAAACTTGATATGCTCGTTTGGCACACTTCCAACTATTCATGGTTCAGCGAGGTCCTAAAGAGTCTACAAGTAGCTTCCAAATTTCTTTAGTAGTTTTAAAATCTTCTTTAAAATCTTCTCTAAGCTTGCCTAAATAGTAACAAGCTTCTAACATTCGGACTTGTTTTTTTCTTTGGCTTCCACGTGTTTCTTTGGCTAAACGAGAGATAATTTCACATGTTTGCTCCTTCCAACTTGTAGTTACAAAAGAGTCAGTATGAAAAGGGTGGTCTGGTTTTTCAAAGTTAAATCTTTCATAATTTTTAGATAACTTGTATCTGTTTTATTAGAATCCAAGTTAGAAACCAAACTTGGATCTAGTGCTAGGATAAGTACATAAGCTTCATTATCAATTGGATTTGGTTCTGAGTTGGGTCAATAGCTTCATTAATTGGTTCTGGTTCTGGGTTGGAGATAATAGCTTCATTAGCAATTGAATCTGGTTCTGGGTTGGAGACAATAACTTCGTTAGCAATCTCTTGTGAAGAAACGAAATCATTTAAGGTTTGTTCGGTAGTGTAATCATCTAAAAAGTTATTTTGAAAAGTGTTTGGTGTTTGGTTTTTATTTCCTGTAGAGATTTGCAAAGAGGCTACAATATCTGTTCTATTTGTTATAATAGCTTGATTTTCCGAGATAACAAGACTATTATTTTGGGATAAAGGGTCCTGGTTCTAAGATATAATTAAATCAATAAGGGTAGCTAAAAGTTGGGGTTGAAATGCAGATAGATTATTATTATTTTTTTTTTTGAAAAAGAGAAGAAGATATTTATAATGTTTTGAAGAAGTTTTAAAGAATTTGTGTTGTTTGTTTTGGAGGGGAAAAAGGCAGGGTTTTTATATTTTCAAAACAGATAACATCTAGCAAGAAAACTTAGCAACAGGGCTTGGCAACAGGGCTTGACAATAAGGCTTAACAATAAAGCTTTGCCCATAAGGCTTGGGCTTAAAAATTGAACTTGATGATAGGATAAGAAAATCATTCTGGGCTTGTACTTGATTTCTTCAATTTGTAGAGATACTAAGATACTTGTTTTATTCATTATTGCTTCTTGGTTTTCCGAGCATTGAGTTTTGGTATTAATGAGTAGTTGTCATATAAATTATTCTGGTTCTGTTTGATTGGTTCGGTTGTATAAAAATTCTGTTCGTTATAGTAATTCAATTTGTAGTAATTGCATGAGTACTATTACTATCTTTGGTAGTTTTTCTTTTTTTTTTGAATCTTGGTTACATATAGATAGTTTGATTAAATTGTTCAACTTATTCTTTGCATTATACTTTTCAATTTAACTTCAAACATATCTCGTCTTCTGTTTTCATATAATTTTGATAGTAATAGTGATGATGATAATAATGTTCATAATAATAATAGTAACGATAATAATAATATTTGGTACGTATGTGGATATATATACAGATATATATATATAGATAAATTAATTTTGATATTATATCTCTAGGTAGTTGCAACAACAAGCAGAAGACCAGGCTGCAACTATTGCAGAGCTTGATCGTATGGCTCTCGATCATTTGCAACAATTCGTTGATCGGGAGCAGGAGCGAGAAGCTCTTATTGAAGAACGAGATAGATATTGGACTTGGTTCAAAGAGCATGATGCTGCTTATCGAGATCTTCTTTGTCAGTTCGAAGAAAAAAGAAGAAGAAGAGAAGGAGACAATAATGAAAGAAGAAAGGTGAAGGAGGAAAATAAGAGGGAAGAAGAGGTTGGAGTGTTTTTGTGTATCAAATAGTTCCTCTTTTTATTGTCTTTTTCTATTTTCTTAGGATTTTTCTTTTGTAAATAAAAATAAAAATATTGCTTTTTCAAGTTTTTTGTCTTCTTTTAGAATTTTCTCCGAAAATTCCAATTTTTGGGTAATAAATTTATAATATTTTTTTAAGGTTGTCCAATAATTATTATCCAGACAACAGTCTTTTTCTTTTTCTTGGGTAGATTTTCCTAAACTTCTGGGTTAATTTCGGTCAATTCGGCATTTGTGACATAGCTCATGTGATTGATGCCTATAAATAAGTAAACTGATCATCTACTAATTTTAATTTTTTTTCTTTCTTGCGGTCTTTTTGCTCTTTTTTTTTAAAAAGGTTTTCTTTCTTTCATGTCGGATCTAGTTCTTTGGCTTCTGGCTATTCTTCTGGTTTCTTTGTCTTTAGACTCTTTTTTTTTCGCTTAGATTCTTGTCACTAATGGCTTTGTCTTGTCGTCGTGGCTTTGGATCAGGTAGGGCATTCTCTTTCGACGATGCCTTTGGTTTTTAGAGGCTTGGTGAATATCATTCCAAGTCATTTGTCTTTAGCTTGCAGCTTAATCAAAGAGCTACTCGGCTTGTAGCTTTCAAGTAGGGCTTTCTTTGCTTCACTTCTGGTTAAGATCTACAAGTCTTTCCCTTTTCGAGGCCAAAATATATAACTCAGGCTTGCAGAGATTTTTTTTTTTTTTTTTTTTTGACATTGTATCGTCGTATTGTTATTGGCTTTTCTTTTTGTTTTTAAGTTTTTTCTTTTTCGTAGGTTTAGCTTTTCCAATTTTTTTTCTGAGTTGGCTCTAGATCTTTGCTTAGATCTTGAAAGGTTATTGCAGATCTCTAGTAGCTTTGGTATTCGTATAACGTCTTTTGATTTTGGAGTATTATAAAATTATATATATATATTTTTTTTTGTTGAGTCTTTGTCTTTATTATTATTTTTTTTTTATATATATGTTTTACATTCTCTTTTTCAGAATGTTATTTCTAGAACCGTTGTCATCTTGGAATTTTTCATTTATCCTGAAAATCGTGGTCTTGTTCTTGGAGTCATCATTGTAGGTGCCATCGTTATGGTGTTTGCATCAAAACGTCGGTCTTGTGGTTTCCAAGATATTGTTATCTTTGTTGTTTTAGTTCTTTCTCTTTTTTTTTTTTTTTTAGAGTTAGAATCGTTGTAGTTTAATTTCGTCATTTTGGAGTTTTCGTCAGTTTTTTTTTTGAAAATCGTCATCGTGGGTGCCGTGTCGCTTTCAAATGTTCTTCGTTGTGTTTTTGAAGTCGGTGTATTATATATTTTTGATAGCTGATTTCTTTTAGATAATCGACATAAGAGTTAAGTATTAGTTAGTTGTAAAATCGAAGAGAAGAACAACAGATAAAAAGGGATTGGATTCAGGGAGGGTTTATAAATGATTTAAAAGTAGTAGGCAGGTATCATGGGTACTGAATTATAAAGTAATGGATATAATAGTAATGTTCCTTTGCCGAAATTTTAGAAAGTTAAGACTTCTCTGAATAGGATATTCAAAGTTCGGTTGTTGATACACGCAACAAAGGTTTAAGTAGTTGCTTTCTTTTCTTTAGTTGTTGTCTTATTTTGGCACTGTCGTTATAGGTACTGTCATTACAAGTATTTTTTTTTTTAGGGCTTGAATTGACTTATGTTACCACTTTTCACTTTTTCTAGAGTTTGTCTTTGCATTTTTTTTTTTTTTGTTAGCATTGTTTAAAAGAATTGTTAAATATTGCTAAGACATCGTCATTAGAGGTTATATAGGTTTCATAGTCTTGGCATCTTCGTGTTGTTGATTTCCAGTATTCTAGCAGGCTTCTAGGTTTTGTTGCTGTTCTTAGTATTTGTAGTTACTCAAGTAAACTACGGCTTTATTAAGAGCTTCTGTCACTCGTCTCTTAACATTTTGGCGTTATCTAAGTGATTTTTGGTATTTCAATAAGTGAATCTAAGGTTTACCTATTTGTATAATTAGATAAGCAATGAAAAGCAAAGATTTGGATTTTGAAAACGTAGGGACAATGTGTAATAACGGATGTAGAAACTTGGGGATCACTTTGGTTAAACGATTTGGATGGAGTGGAATTGAGGATAGATTGTAAGAGGTCTGAATTTAGATTATTCGAAGACCTATTCATGCGGAATCAATAGTAGACCGTGGGTTTTGCAGAAATGATGTATCCTTTTTCATCATTTCTTTTCTTTTTTTTTTTTATTATTATTTTTTTTTTTAAGTCTTCGCTCCATCAAGGCATTTTACTAACAACAGCTTCTTCTATCCTTCACTAGTCGGATAGTTAATGTAAGGCTTTAATTATTCACTAAGTAGAGTATCAACTAGTTAATGATATAAGGTGAAATCAATTAATGATGAATTAGGTTTGGGATAAGTTAGCATGCAAGGGACATAGAGAATGGTGAGACATAGGGTATCGGATATTAAAGGATAAATTATAATTAGGGGTAGTATTGGATTTAGATAAAATGAGTTTAATTTGGAATTGTGTTAAAGTTAAGGATAGGGGAAATAGGAATGGGTTGTAGTTAGAAATATTTAAGAGTTCGAATTGGGGATGAGTTAGGAATAATGGGGTAGTTTATAGTTAGAATTATCAAGGTGGGTTAAAGTTAGAATAAATAGAATAGTTTAAATTAGGGATAGTTCAATGTTAGAAAAATGGGTTTGGTTTATAGTTAGAAATCAGGATTTGTGAATTTAATGGGTTGGGTCAATATTAGGGATAGATAGAACAGGTTTAGTTAAGGATGGGTGGAGAATTTAGGTTCGAAGTTATGACAAAGGGGATTAAACGGAATAGATTAAGATTAAAATAGGGGAATAGGTTAAATAAAACAGATTAAATTTGAAAGGAGATTTTGGGTTTAGAATTAGAGATTGGGTAGTTGATAGGATTGAGTTATAGATAGATAGAATAAATGAGATTGGAAATGGGTTTTGGATATTTAGAATATAGGGTAATTTGGAATGAGGATTTAGAATTAGGTTTAAAATATCATGTATGTGCATTGAATTTAATAATTAAACAAATGAAATAAATAAATGAGTTGTTTTTGCTATAGCAATTTATAAATTGTTGTATATGCATATATGCTAAGAACTAAAAATTGTTATAAGTTCTTGGTCATGTAATATGGCACTTTGTTTCAAAGATTTGGACAGGTGCCGAATTTGAGTACTTTTATGATTTGAAATTTATTTATTTATTTTTTTTTTAAAAAACTATAAATATTTCCTACTAGAGAATACGTAGTAGAACTTTTCTAGCTCTAGCATCTGAAGAGTACGTGATAGAATCTTCCTAGCTTCGATAGTATCATATAGATTTCTGAGACATAAAATTTTTTAAGTTTATATTTACAGAGTTGGGATTATTTACACCTATACTTTGGCTCATGGATAATCCGCGCTTAACACTTTTGGTTAAGGTTTGCAGTAAGCTGCGAGCTATGGGTCCTTATACCTACACATTTGGCTCGTGGAGTACCTGTCCAAGGGATCTAACCTCGGGGTTGCAGTAAGCTGCAAGCTCTGGGTGCTATGAAAGCAGAGGCTTCAAGTGGCCCTTCTGTACAAGTCTCTTTCAACTTGAAAGGACTTTCCAGATACTACAAAAGCAGAAGCTTCAAGTGGCCCTTCTGTACAAGTCTTTTTCAACTTGACAGGACTTCCATGTGCACTATTACTTCTTTAGTAATAGGCGTTCACAAATAAATAAAGTAATTTTTAGGAGAGAATATCCAAGTTAATGGATCCAATATTTTCAAGCTTCTTGGGAGATTTTCTATAATTTTAGAGAAGACATTTTAGATTTTTGGTAGAAACTTTTAGCTTTCTTGAGGGAGACCTTTTAGTGTTCCGGTAGAGACTTTTTAGCTTTTCGGGAGAGACTTTTTAGTTTTCCAGAGGAGACTTTTTAGCTTTCCAGAGGAGACTTTTTAGCTTTCTGCCAGAAAGCACCAAAATGTTACAAGTGGGGTAGCCTTCTTAATTTACTACCTGCAATATAGCACACAGCAACAGGGATTTCTAAAATAACAGGCCGAGATATGAAGCGGTGTGGAAGTGAAATGTTTCCTCACTAGGGTAGTTCGGTATATTCATTAGAAGTATAGGAACATGGTTTACTTTAGGGCAAAGATATATTTATTTATTTATGATACAATGTCTAAATACAAAGCTATCTATAAGTATCTATTTCTATAGAATCCTAATATTTTAGAACATTGCAGTGAACAAATCCTCTAGTACAAGAAAGATAAAAGCTAGAGTTTATATAGCTTTTACAATATATATAAAAAGTATAAAAAGTACTAAACGTATAAAAAGGCATAAAAAGTACAAAAGGTACAAAAGGTATAAAAAGTATAAAAGATATAAAAGATATAAAAGGTACAAAAGATATGAAAGGTACAAAAGGTATAAAAGATATAAAAAGTATAAAAAGTATATTACGTTAGAATTGTTTTGGTAATATTCTATTAACCAATAATCTGTTTCTAATATATTATAGCTTGTTAGAATTACAACAAGCTTCTGAATCTAATAGAGATAAAATATGAATCTCATTCTATAATAATTAGAGATGTAAACATTTAAAAATTTCAAGGTAACTACTTTTCTAAAAATATAACAGCAATATAGCACATTTGCCGTATAAATAAATATGCCGTATGCCGTATATATATCATATGTTATATAAGTGCCATGTGTCGCATAAGTTCCATATGCCGCATAAGTGCCGTATGTCGTATAAATTCCGTATGCTGCATAAGCGCCATATGTCGCATAAATGCCGTAAGCCGCATAAATGCCATATATCATATGATATATAAGACAATATGTTGTATAACATGCTCAAAATAATAATGTTAGAAACTGGTTTTGATCCGGGTTTTAAAAAGTTTTTTCTGATACTCATGTAATGACGTTATTTATAGAATTAATACACTTAAAAGCATGCTAAACTGATTTAAGCCAAGCCCTTGAATTTGAATGTACAAAAAATGAAATTGTGATATTTATTATGGTTTGGTTAAATGTTAATAAAAATGTGCTGTATTTGTCATTCATATCAAGGTATCAATTATTTGTTTTCAAAGATTCTAGCATTAAAAATAACCGCTATTTTTTGGATCAGATAGAATTCATGTAAAGAATGCAAAGTAATACTTGAGTGCCCTTCATCAATGATAAATTATATATTTAAACCTAATTACACCTAATTACTATGATATCTAAAGCAAAAATCAACATTCGATTTTTTTGTTGGACTAGCACTAGTTTGAGCAGTTCTGAACTAATTTTTAAGAAGCCTGATTCAGACCTGGTCCATCCCTGCATAAATCGATAAGAATACAGGAATATTCTAATTCCAGTGACATCTTGGTAACACTATGTACCAAATTAATTTTTCAAAAATAAAGCGATTGTGTTTTCTAATTCCCATTACTATTACATCTTATTTTATTGATTAGCCAAAATTAAAACTTAAGCGATAGTAAATGCAATATTTATATGTTGCAAAATTAAAATGTGCAAATTTTCAGTTTTTATCTTATCAATATTAGATAGAGCTCAACACAATCAAGAAAAAACTTGATCTCAAATACTGATAAAACTAAATACAATATCGATATGTATGTTGTTTAAAATCATTGATATTTGGTCTATCAGGTATTCGACATCAAGTTTTTTCTTGATTTTGTCAAGCACTAGTGTCGGATTAATTCCTGAACAGATTATAGAAAAGTATATATAAATATGTATCTATACTATAAAGTAACACATACTATATTAAAATAATCAGAATGGTGATTGAGTTATAATTTAATTCTTCTAGGATTAAGTTCAGAAATAATCAAACTTAAAAATTTTTTTACAGGTTTAAACTTGGCAATCTTTATATATCGTATTCTTAAACATCTTGCAGACAAATTTGCATGTGAAAACCAATATCTGCTTGTATTTATTTTCAGGTTTAAACTTGGCAGTCCTTATATATCGTACTAATATAGGATTCATTAAATATCTTGTGGACAAATTTGCACGCGAAAACCAATAATTAAAGAAATTTGCTTGTATCTATAATTTATATCGTTATCTATTTTCAGGTTTAAACTTGGCAATTCTTATATATTGTACTAATATAGGATTCCTTAAATTTCTTGTAGACAAATTTGCACACAAAAACCAATAATTAAAGAGATCTGCTTGTATATATAATTTATAACTACAGTTATCGTCATTTATTTTCAATAGTGGTATCAAATTTTTAGCTATGGGGACGAATGAAATAAATTTACAAAAAAGAAATAGAGAGTTAGTTGAAGAAATAGAAGACAGTTCAGAATCAGAAGAAGAATATACAACAAATAGTTCTAATATTCAACCTTTACCTAAAAATAAAAAACATAGACTATTTGCTGAGATATGAGATTATTATATTAAAGGCGCAGAAAAAAGTCATGGGCATTATGAAGCTACTTGTTATTATTGTAATCCTAAAAAATCCTGGGCAAGAGGAAAACCGGCAAAGCTAGAAGCACATCTAGCAAATGAATGTCCTAATTGCCCTGACAATATATTAAGATATTGAAGAAAAAAAGTAGCGGAGAGAAATTCTAATTATACACGAAGACAAAAAATCTTACCAAACCAAACCACAATAACATCTCATTTTTCATCTAATTGTCCATTACCAAATGCTACAGTTAATCGACTTGACCAAAAAATACTTAAAGCTTGGGTAATGGCTGGAATTCCTTTTGAAGTTATTGAAAATCCGTTCATTAAAGATATGTTTAAAGAGCTTTTACCCACATATAATCCTCCATCAAGAATAACTTTATCAAACCGATTACTGGATGAGAAAATAGCATGAATTAATTGTGCAATTGATAAAGAAATAGATAAGGCTGATCATTTAACCTTAGGTTAGTATATCTTTATATAGATATTATATAAAGTAACCTAGAATATATTTTACACATTGATAGTTTGCGCAAGACGCAAGTGATCTTATTGAACTTAAATTTTAAATTTAATGTATGGCATGAACTATAGTACCCTCCTATATCTTGGTTAAATACAAAATACCCGGGATTATATTATATAAAATTTTTTTTCATATGAAAAATTTCCAAGTATAGTACCAG